TACTGCGGGCCGACACGGAAGGCGAAAAGGGTGTTGGTGAAAATGCACGTGTTAATTTGTAGCCACTCGGCGTCATAAAGATAATGTGGAAGTGTCCACAGGGCTAGCTAGGTGTGGCTTATGGTAGAGACCATCGGTGGAAGTCTCCGCATCCGACCCTGTGGAAGTGTCCACGGGTTTGCTGTAAGGTATTTCCCTCCAATTGGTGGAAACAAACGGTGGAAGTCTCGTGACATCTCCTGGCACGCACATGTCAAACATTCATGACACGTGACCGCATTAATTTCAGGGCCCATCGACATCGAGCACATACAGCTTGGCTGTAGGGCTTAGACATGTTTACGAAGTGATTCAAAATGATGTTAACTAATGTCAAGCAGTGCAACACTGGCTGGAATGTATTTCTTTATTGTTTGGATCACATGACTTGGTCATTTTATGAACGGCAGACATCTTACGACAAATTTCGGGATTCTTGTTACGTGATTAAGCAAAAGTTCGCGAAGTTGATCGTCCTAATGCGTTGGTGTGCACTTGGCATGAAGGATGGGTGACGATTCCTTACAGTAAACCAATGCGCTGAGGCACGCCAGGTCCACCACAAGCATATCAGGTATGCTGAGCGCACCAGCGATGTGCCGAATGTTTGCAGCCTTCTGGCAGCACTGCACGACATGCTTGGAGGTCGTGTATCGATCAATTCGGGGCATTGCCATGTCCGCGTGGCAAACAGAAGAGGCAACGTACTGCTGATGTCAGAAATGTCTCGATAAAAGCGGCTTATAGTTTTACTACCTACGGCTCGCTCGTAGGTAACGGTAAGTGCCAGCCCAAGACCGTAAAGGCCCTGAGCCTGCGGCGGTCCCACGTAATGAATCGGCGACGCAGGGTGTGGACGTTTCAGCAGCGTGCCATGAGGTTCGCGGTTAATTCGGTGACAGCATGACCCCGTGCAAACCGTAGGCGCAGAGGCAGGGTAAGGGGAGGGGTGGGGCGGGGGCTAGCCATGCACGACATAGGCTTTCGTTTGGCATGAGCTCGACGCTGACGCATGAAAAGAATGGACTTGACAAACTGGTTTGTCTCATTGATGCTGGGAACGTCCGTACGTTACCGGAGCAAGTTACAGGAGCCGTTTCAACCCTGCCCTGCCATTTTCAACTGGCCTAGCGCGCACCTCGCCGCGCCGTCGCCTCCCCCCCCCCCTGACCTCTGACCTATTCCCGGAGTGCACCAGCCACCGGCGCGCCGCAGCCGCGTCTCCGCAGCGGAGGTGCTGCGGTGGGTGTGGCGCGTGCGGCGGCCGGGCCGCCGGACGGCCTTGACGGCCGCCGTGTTTGGTGAGGCGGCCGTGGCGGCGGACTGGCCGCCGGCGGCGGTCCGCGGACCGGTCTGTCGGGACTCCGCGGTCTGTCGGGACTCCCACGCGCCGCCGCGCCGGCCCGGCCCGGACGGCGCCGTTAAATGCCGGCGACGGCTGCTGCGCGGCGCCGGCGCCGGCTGGGCCGGGCTGCGAGGCGGCCCCGCGCTGGCTGGGCTGGCTGCTCTGAGCCGGCACGGGAAGGCTGGCTCGTGCCTGGCTGTGCATCGAGCTAACAATGACTGTGCATGGCACTGCAAGACGCCAACTGCATGCCCTTCGAAGGTCAGAAGATGCCCCCGACCACACATGGGGCGGTTGTATAACGCCCTGGTGCTATTATGATCCGATCGGGAGTGTAGCCACGTCGTTACGGGTCAATAGACGCGTTAATGTGACACATTTGGGGTCCTCGAGGCCGCTGGCAGTGACCCCTTATCTGGAAATAGGACCGTGGTGCCAAGTGCTTGTTCGTCGAGCATTTTATTAGTTTTCTAGCACGTTTTGGGTTAAAATCAGATCAAAACCGGATGTTACTTCACCGAAATAGTTATCATTTCTTTCCAGTGTGTTGAATGCTTGCCTGTACCGTCCAACTGTCGCATGTCTCCTGCGGCGCTGTATTGCAAATGTGTGACGTCAGCAAATGTGTGACGTCAGCGGCTCGCGCGGTCACCGGGCTGTGGTCGGCTACACATTCACCAATGCCCGGAGCCCTGATCTCGTAAAGGCCACGCGTAGACGCGTTGGAATGTGATGCGAATTCTTACTGCGCAATCACCAAGGGTGGCATTGTGAAATGCGTCAGAATGGCGAATCCCCCCCCCCCCTTCGATAGAATTCCGGGAGTAGGTACAGGAACTAGGTTGTCGGGATCAGGCGTCAAATTCTCCTGGGCGGTGACGTACTTCAAGTAGCCAGTGGTTCTGTCAAGACATCAGCAGGGGTGGTCTACGAAGTCACACGCAGCCATCCCCACGCAGTTACCGCCACGCAGTTACCACCAGGGCCTGGCATCTGGTCGAATGCTCTCGAGCGCAAAGCAGCCTCCTCTGTACGCGAGGGTGGCCCCGCCAGCCTGTGTCCATCGGTGGGTGGCCCCACCAGCCTGTGTCCATCGGCGGATGGCCCCACCGCTCTGTGTCCACGGCGGGTGGCCTCACCGGTCTGTGTCCATCGGCGGATGACCCCACCGGTCTGTGTCCATCGGTGGGCGGCCCCACCGGTCTGTGTCCATCGGCGGGTGACTCCACCGGTCTGTGTCCATCGGCGGGTGACCCCACCAGTCGGTGTTCATCGGCGGGTGACCCCATCGGTCTGTGTCCATCGGCGGGCGGCCCCACCGGTCTGTGTCCACCGGCGGATGGCGGTCACTCCGTCGTCCCACCGCCGCCGCCGCCGCCGCCGCCGCCGGCTCCGAAGCTGAGCCCGGAAGTGGCGGCCGCTCGCGCATGTGGGGCGCGGGCGGGCCGGCGTCGCGTGCCGCCCAAAAGTGTACCGTGAGCGCGCGCGGAGCGGCGCGGCCGGCGGCCGGCGCCGCGCCGCGCGCTGACCCGGTAAACAGCGCGGGGCGGTGCACGGGTCAGGAGGTGCCCACTGGCCCAGATCACGGCGGCGTAACTGGAGGGAGGATAGGCTGAGGGAGGGAGGAGGTAGGGA